TCCCATAACGTGCACAACCACAACCAACTGCCAATATCCAGTACCCACCAGCAGACTGCATCTGGGATTGGCAGGAAGGTGCCAATTTTGTTCTCAATCCCCATCAGTTTTGATAAAACAAAGTGGAATATGGCCATCATGTACACTTAGGAACAATGCAACTGAACTGGAATGCTTTCATTTATTCTTCGATGAACTCCTGATGGACATTATTGTCAGGCAAAGTAACACACACTTCGAATACACCATGGCAAACACAGTTGTTTCACTGAGATCACGGCTACACAAGTGGAAGGATACGACTTTGGCAGAGGTGTATCTGTTCTTTGCCACAAAAATGCTTATTCCACATGTGTATAAGCACACTGTCACTACACACTAGTCGACAGATTGCCTGATTTGAACCCCAGGTTTTGGTGATATACCAGTGAATCGATTTCTGCTACTGTTACATATGCTACACTTCTCAGACAAAACAAGGTCTGCAGAAATAACAGGTTATATAAGATCAGGAATGTGTTTATGTACCTGAAACAAAAGTGCGGTATATATTTTTAGCCCTTTGGGAAACTTGATATTGATGAGTCTTGATTTTGTTCAAAGGCAGACTGTCTTTCAAGCAGTATATACCAAGCAAGAGGAAATGCTTTGATGTAAAGTTATTTGAACTGTGTGATTGCAAATGTGGTCTGGTTTTGGATATAATTGTGTACACTGGCAGTAATACATTGAGAGATACCAGGAAGTTATTGGTTATCTCTGGTGATGTGGTTAGAACAATGATGGAACCATATCTTGGTAAGCAGCATATATTATATACTGATAACTGGTACACAAGCCCCTTACTCAGTGATTTCTTGTGAGTGAACATGACAGATATGTGTGGCACAGTGCGTGGAAATTGTGAGCTTATGCCTAGGTTCGATGCAGGCACTTGTAGAGGTGAGGTGTAGGTGTTTGCTGTCAATGACATCATGGCATTTTGGTGGCATGACAAATGTGATGTCACATTGTTGACATCAGTTCACCGAAATGAAATGGCAGACAGTAGCAAGCAGAATAGAGAGACCAATGAACTCATTTTAAAACCTGCAGCTGTGATGGACTACTACCTCAATATGCACTTAGTGGACAAATGTGACATGCAAATTGGGTTTGTTGATTGTGTTTGCCAAAGTTATAAGTGGTACATAAAACTTTTTTCCATCTTCTTGACATTTCCATGCTGAATGCTTATAACATGTACAAGTTGAAGACCAACAACAAACCAAAATATGGTGAATTTTGTGTGTCAGCCATCAGACAAATAATATTCAAGTACCAAGAAACAGCACCTGTAATAGACCAGCGCCCATGAAATTATCAACACATACCCTCTCGTCTGAGGCCTGATGATCACTGCCCCATACAACTGCCTCTTACTACGTTCAAGAAAAGTGCTCAGAAGAGGTGTTTAGTCTGTGCACATGCCACAAAATGCCAACAAAAATGCAGAGACACTCATTTTAATTTTTTTTTTTTTTTTTTTTTTTTTTTTTTATACAAGTCGGCCGTCTCCCACCGAGGCAGGGTGACCCAAAAAAAGAAAGAAAATCCCCAAAAAGAAAATACTTTCATCATCATTCAACACTTTCACCACACTCGCACATTATCACTGTTTTTGCAGAGGTGCTCAGAATACAACAGTCTAGAAGCATACACATATAAAGATACACAACATATCCCTCCAAACTGCCAATATCCCAAACCCCTCCTTTAAAGTGCAGGCATTGTACTTCCCATTTCCAGGACTCAAGTCCAACTATATGAGTGTAAAAACCACTGTGCATAACACCGTGTTACAAAGACTTCCACAAGCTGTAGCAGTTCTAGGAAAGTGTCCAGTGACTGTACATTTGTATATATATTATAAAACAATAGTAATAAACAATTTTTTGTATTGTTGGTTTGTATAAGCAAGTTTTGTAAACAATGTAATGATAATGTTTGTGCAGTTATTGTGTTGCATACTACGAGTGTATATATGTACATTGCACCTTAATTTGGTCTCACAGGTCACATAGGTTACTTGGAAAAAAAAAATTGGAAAATACAAGAAACCTTCGAATAGGAGTAAATGTAAGTGTACCGGGTAAGTGGCATTCGCCACTGTTGCCATACATGGCTCATTTTCTGCCAAATTTACGACTCTTTATCTCAGTAAGTACTGATCGTAAAAAAATTTTTTAGACTACAATACTACTTACCCCTCGCCCTACATTAAGACTACAAATATTTTAAGGTATGTAATGAATGTATTAACCACAGAAGAGCTGCAACACTATAGTTATTCTCTATAAAATTTATTTTTTGTTAATATTTTTGGGTGTCTGAAACGGATTAATTGGATTTACATTATTTCTTATGGGAAATATTACTTCGGCTTTTGGCCATTTTGGATTTAGGCCAACCTTCTGGAACGGTTTAATTTCAAACACCAGGGGTCTACTGTATTAGTAGATGAGGTTGTAAGAGAAGTGATTGCTCGGGTGTTGGTAAGAGGTGTGGGATTATAAGATGAAGAATCTAACACAAGGTGGGAGTTGTCACAGTTGCATTTTGCTGATGACACTGTGCTTTTGGGAGATTCTGAAGAGAAGTGGCAGAAGTTGGTGGATGAATTTGGGAGGGTATGTAAAATGGAAATTGCAAGTGAACATTGGAAAGAGTAAGGTGATGAGGATAAAAAATTAAGTGATGAAAGATTGGATATCAGATTGGAGTGAGTATGGAGGAAGTGAATGTGTCCAGATACTCGAGAATGGACTCTTTAGCAGATGGGTCTATGAAAGACGAGGTGAATCATAGGATTAATGAAGAGAAAAAAGGTGAGTGGTGCACTGACTAGTATGTGGAGACAATGTTATCCATGGGAGCAGAGAGAGGAATGTATTAAAGTATAGTGGTACCAATACTCTTATATGGGTGTGAGGCATGTGTAGTGAATGTTGCAACAAGGAGAAGGTTGGAGGCAGTGGAGATGTCATGTCTGAGGGCAATGTCTGGTGTGAATGTTATGCATAGAATCTGTAGCTTGGAGATTAGGAGGAGGTGAGGGGTTTCTAAAAGTATTATCCAGAGGGCTGAGGAGGGGTTATTGATGTGATTCAGACATTTAGAGAAGATGAGATGAAGCAGAATGACTTGGAGGGTATGTAAATTTCTAGTAGAAGGAAGGCGGGCTAGGGGTCGTCTCAGGAAAGCTTGGAGGGAGAGGGTAAAAAAGGTTTTGTGGGTGAGGGCTTAGACTTCCACCAAGCATGCATGAGTGTGTGGAGGCAAATGGTTTTTATGGCTTGACATGCTGCTGGAGTGTGAACAAAGTAACATTTATGAAGGGAAACTGGTTAGCCAGGCTTGGGTCCTGGAGGTGGGTAGTACAGTGCCTGCACCCTGAAGTAGGGGTGGAGATGTGTTGCAGTTTTTTAAACTGTAGTGTTAGCATGCCTCTGGCAAGACAGTAATGAAGTGATTGATGAAAGTGTTTCGTCTTTTTCAGGTCACTGCCTTGGCAGGAAACAGCTAATGTGTTAATAAAAAAGTTCTTGTATTTATGTCCTTTAGTGCTTATTCCCATTTGTCTTTTTTTTTGTGCTATTTATCCAAACTTACAATTACTGTTTTATATAGCTATGCATGTAACTTAAGAGGATTCTTCTATCTGTCCAGCCCAGCCTGAGGACAGCCTATTTTGTCATTTTGCTACTTCTCATTTTCATACTAATGTTTCTACTATGCATTCATTAGTACCCAATACAGTGGACCTCTGGTATTCGATATTAATCCATTCCCGAGAGCTCATCGTATGCCAAAATTATTGGAAGGCGAATTAATTTTCCCCATAAGAAATAATGAAAATCAAATTAATCCCTGCAAGACACCCAAAAGTATGAAAAAAAAAAAAATTACCACATGAAATATTAAGTTTAATGCACACAAACTGAAGAAGACATGCACAGTTTGTAGTACTCTACTAACAATAGAATACATGACACTTACCTTTAATGAAGATCTGGTGATGATTGATGAGATGGGAGGAGGGGAGAGTGTCGAAGTTGTTAATGTTTAGAAGGGGAATCCCCTTCCATTAGGACTTGAGGTAGCAAGTCCTTTTCCGGGGTTACTTTCCTTCTTCCTTTAATGCCACTAGGACCAGCTTGAGAGTCACTGGACCTCTGTCACCGTTCCTTTAAGACTTGTCTAAAATGGGCCATAACATTGTCACTGTAATAATCACCAGCACAGCTTGCAATAGCTGTGTTAGGGTGATTTTCATCCATAAAGGTTTGCAGTTCAACCCACTTTGCACACATTTCCTTAATTTTTGAAGTAGGCACAATGGATTCCACAACTGGCATAGGCTTCTCAGGGTTAGCCCCAAACCTTTCAAAATCTTTCTTAATTTCCATACTAATTCTCACCCTTTTTACCACAGGGTTGGCGCTAGAAGCTTTCTTGGGGCCCATGGTGACTTATTTTGCAGAAACAAGCACCAAAAACACTGTGATAATATGGAATGTACCGAATGTATGCTTAGATGCGAGCACACTGCCTGGCTTGTAAACACTGGCACTCACGTAGACGCGTCCCGGACGAATCGCGTGTGACAAGTTTTTTAACGAGTGGCGAGGCAAAATTTTTACGTTAAAATGTATCAAATACAGGATTTAACGTATACTGATGCCATCGAATACCGGGGGTCCACTGTATAGTAAATGGAATTTTTTTTTTTGCTCATTTGAACTGTGTGAGGGGGGAGAAAGGAGGGATGTTTATTCTTTTCCCTTCTTCTGGCTGCTGCTACATCCACCACCCGTTTACTTTTTCTATCACTGGCTTATTTGTCTATTCCTGGAGACAAATTTTTTTTATTACTGAAACAGTGTGTGTATTCATAAATTAGAATGTCCATATGACATTTAAAATTACAAATTTAGTATTTAACAATTTTTTTTTTACAGGTAAATGGATTCCCAACACTGTATCTGTATAAAAATGCCAACCAGATTGGAGAGTACAACGGGGATCGTTCCCTGGACGACATGGTCTCCTTTATCACCAGACATCTAGAGCACGACGAACTGTAGTCTAGTACTTTATTAAAAGCAGTTTTTAGCTAACAGCAATATACTGTATCTTTAATTAGGGGTGTCTATCAGAATATTATATTGCAAGGTACTTAAATTATTTTCCTTCTCCAATTACAATATCCTTTAAGTACAATAAGTGATATTTCAAAACTTTTAGCTGATAGGTGTAAGTTCATAACCATGTTTTATATTTTAAATTGTTCACAAACTTTGGAGAATAGTTCAAAGCTATTAATGGTGTTAAATTGTTTTTTCAATGCTTTGTTTCCATGGAAAATATTATTATATTGTTTTTTCTTAATTATGTAGCACCTTTATATCTTTCATTATAATAAGAGCCAAAAATTTAACATATAGAAATGCTAGCTGTTGAATCATTAATATTCATTTAGAATAAATGTGATGTTTTCTTTTTATATTCAAACCAAAGAAAGTTGACCATTGTTCAATGAATGAAATGTAACATGTGCTGTCGTATTACTGAAACTTGTACCCCTACTTATTGTCTTGATATTTTTACCACAATTTTAATCACATTCATATTAGTTTTATTGTTTATACAGTTATTTAGGAACATCTGTATGTGTGTGTGTGTATGTTCAGTGTGACTTCCACAGGATATTACAAGACTTAATACATTTTACAATGTGAATAATTAATACAGAGGCATTCTGTTTATATTTACTCGGAAAAACCTTGCTTTAACACACTTCAGTTTAACAGAGAACGTCCATTGTCTGGAAACCACAGAGTCATTTAAATCCAGGATTTTTTTTTGTTGCAGTCCACTAGGCAAATAAATTTTGGATTAAAAAACAAGATCTGTTATTTTCAGTAATAGATCAACCCTTTCACTGTTGGTGCCATAGTACTATGTTTTACTAGTCAGTGTTGGTGCCGTAGTACTACGCCAAAATTCTAGCGGCTTCAGATCTAGCAGGAGAAAGCTGGTAGGTCTACGTGTGAGAATGGGTCTGCATGGTCAGTGTACACAGTATAAAAAAAAATCAGGGAGCCAGTGGTGCATTGTGGGAATGCCATTTCAGTAGTCCTTGTTCAGCATGCCTAGCAGTAAAAAATATCTGACTCCCCGGCAAATTTGGGACTCTTCTCTTCCCAAGTGATAGTTCTGACACAGATGGAAGTGTCAGTGAAGATGAATTTTATGGTTTTGTGAAGTTTGTGACTGAAAGCAGTGCCCAGGATACCAGATACAGATAGTGAAAAGGGATGGCAGCTTGGATGGTGGGGAAGATGGTGTGGGTGGTTGGGAAGATGGTGTGTAAATTTATTCAGGAATACACAAATACTGTTACATAGATTATCATACATAGCAGCACGTGTAGAGAGCTTAGGATAACCTGAAAAAGTCAAGCATGGGTGGTAAGGAAGACAGGGTGGGTGTGGGGAAGGAAGTGTGGATGGTGGGGAAGGTGTGGGTGGGGAAGACAGCATGGGTTTGTGTAAACCTGTTTTGTAAACAATATAATGATAGCAATGTTTGTGCAGTTATTGTGTTGCACACAATGAGTGTGTATTTTTTTTTTTTTTAACAAGTCTGCCGTCTCCCACCGAGGCAGGGTGACCCAAAAAGAAAGAAAAAAATCCCCAAAAAGAAAATACTTTCATCATCATTCAATACTTTCACCTCACTCACACATAATCACTGTTTTTGCAGAGGTGCTCAGAACACAACAGAGTTTTTTTTTTTTTTTTTTTTTTTTTTTTTTTTTTAACACAGGGTTTGACAAGGTTAAGGATCCCTAGCTTTATTGACAGCTATATTACAGGTTAAGGATTCCTAACTTTATTGGCAAGCTAAGAGCTGTTACCTACATCAGCTCATTTGAAAGCATTTTTATTGTTATGAGACATACAAGTAGGGAACAGGATGAAGTTGGAGCCATCTGTGGGCCAGCATTTTCATTTGATCAACTGACTTTATCTCGTTGACATCATTATGCTGTACGAATGTGTTCCATACTTGAGTCATCCTGGGTATGTATGATCTCAGATGGAGTGATGTTCTGGAGAAGGGTACAGCCAGAGTGAAGTTGCTGCTTTCTGCCCATCTTGTGGCATAAAAGCTTGTTTCACGCTGTCCTCGAAGTGGATCCAAGTGTGGTATTTTGACAATATTGGCCTTGTACATAACAGTAAGGCCACCCACATCCCTCCTATGTTGAAGGCTCTGCTGAAATGACAGATCTATCCAGGATGGGTCCAGGTGAGAGATGAGACGTCTTGCTCTGTTCTCTACTCTGTCAAGCAGTCGCATATATGTATAAAGATACTCAATATATCCCTCCAAACTGCTAATATCCCTAAACCCCTCCTTTAGAGTGCAGGCATTGTACTTCCCATTTCCAGGACTCAAGTCCGGCTATATAAAAATAACTGGTTTCCCTGAATCCCTTCACTAAATATTACCCTGCTCACACTCCAACAGATCATCAGGTCCCAAATACCATTCGTCTCCATTCACTCCTATCGAACATGCTCATGCACGCCTGCTGGAAGTCCAAGACCCTCGCCCACAAAATCTCCTTTACCCCTTTCTTCCAACCTTTTTGAGGACAACCCCTACCCCGCCTTCCTTCTCCTACATATTTATATATATATTTTTTTCAACAAACTGGCCGTATCCCACCGAGGCAGGGTGGCCCAAAAAGAAAAACAAAAGTTTCTCTTTTTAAATTAAGTAATTTATACAGGAGAAGGGGTTACTAGCCCCTTGCTCCCGGCATTTTAGTCGCCTCTTACAACACACATGGCTTACAGAGGAAGAATTCTGTTCCACTTCCCCATGGAGGTAAGAGGAAATAAACAAGAACAAGAACTAGTAAGAAAATAGAAGAAAACCCAGAGGGGTGTGTATATATATATATGCTTGTACATGTATGTGTAGTGTGACCTAAGTGTAAGTAGCAAGACGTACCTGAAATCTTGCATGTTTATGAGACAGAATAAAGGACACCAGCAATCTTACCATCATGTAAAACAATTATAGGCTTTTGTTTTACATTCACTTGGCAGGATGGTAGTACCTCCCTGGGTGGTTGCTGTCTACCAACCTACTACCTAGGACAAATATATGTACATGTATATATATATTTATATTATGCATTATATTGGTCTCACAGACCACAAAAGTTACTTGAAAAAATAAAATATTAGAAACAAAAAGAAAAAATAGAATAAAAGTAAAAATAATACAAAGTGAGTGGCAGTTGGCGATGTTGCTGTAAGAGGTTCACTTTGTCAACTTCACATCTCTGTATCTCGGTAAGTAGTGATCGCAAAAAAAAAAAAATTCATTTAAAACAATCGGAAAAATATTCTTAAGATTTTGGTAAGAAATGTTTTTTTTTCTTCGGATATTTTTCAACACAGAGAGGGACTTAAGGATCAGACCTCTCACCAGTGAAAGGGTTAATGGTGCACAGTGCAGACAAGTGGATGAGTAAGTCGTGTGCAACACCTCAGTATCTTTATTGCTAAAAGTTTTTGCCTGCACAGCTACTTTCTTCACTTGAAATACAGAGGTGACTTGATTAATAACAAAAAAAGGCACAATACGGTGACTGGAACGATGCACAAATAACCTACAAATAGAAGAGAGGAGCTTATGAGGATGTTTTGATCCGACTTGGACCATTTACAAAGTCACACTAATGAAAAGGAAGGCAGGAGGTGGCAGTAGTAGTGGAGGGAGAAGGTAGTAAGGAGGAGGAGGAGCTAGTTGAATACTAAGAAAGAGGAAGACTGCAAGGGAGCTAGGTACCCACAGAGGGTAAGAGCAAGAACACAGAGGGGGAAAAATAAATAAAGAAGGAACTAATACACAAGGCAGAAGAAAGACAACCCCAAGGAGAAAAAGGAAAGAGGAAACGGGAAGAGGGAGAAGAAAAAGGAGGAATCGGGTAAAGTCACGGGTGTTCTGAAGTTTGGAGCATTTTACAATGTAGTGGGAAAGGAAGGCATCTACAGAGATGAAGCCAGGACTAAGATTCATACAAGGAAAGTTGTGTATTAGGGAGGATTCAACCAGACGGTGACTGACTGTTGAAGTTGGAAATAGGGAAGACAGTTTTAGCAGAAGACCAGTCAGTAGGATGGCTGTGATCTCTGACAGACTTAGGGAGCACAAAAATAGTGTTAGGCTTGCCGCCACTAACAATGCTCTTTTCTATCATGTCAGAGATCACAACCATCCTATTGCCTGGTCTTCTGCTAAAACTGTCTTCCAACTTCAGCAGTTGCCATCTGGTTGAATCCTCCCTAATACATGACTTTCCTTGTATGAATCTTAGTCCTGGCTTCATCTCTGTAGATGCCTTCCTTTCCCACTACATTGTAAAATGCTCCAAACTTCAGAACACCCGTGACTTAGCCTGATTCCTCCTTTTTCTTCTCCCTCTTTCCATTTTCTCTTTTGGGTTGTCTTTCTTCTGCCTTTTGTATTTGTTCCTTCGCTGCCACCGCCACCTCCGCCTCCTTAGTGTGACTTTGTAAATGGCCCAAGTCGGACCGAAACGTCGTCTTAAGCTTCTCTCTTCTATGTGCGGGTTATTTGTGTGACTTGATTGCTGTAGTGGAGAAGCAATACCAAGGCTGAGGGATGGATTACCTCATAAGTGTTCAGCTCTGTAAATAAGGAGTCAAACACTTACCAAAGCTGAACAGCTGATCTCTATTTCTGTCATCCCAGCATTTAAGTTTCCTCCACATTTCAAATGGAGAAACTGGCTGAGCAGGTGAAATGTTTTGGCATTGAAGACACCCAGTTGTTGCAGAAGTGTTTTACTCATGTTACAATCATGAAAAACAATTCCATCGTTCAACTTCAGTGTACAAGCAGCATTACCAAACATCCTCTGCCCCTTATTAGTTGGTTAAATTGAGATTTCGTTATGTATAAACATGAATGTAATACTGATGTAACTCCTCAGCATGATCGTAATGCATTATGCACAAGAATTATAATTTTTGATACTCCCTTTGCATAGGGAAATGTTGAACTGATCGTTAATAAAACCTTTCAGAGTTGATTATACAATGTATTTTTAAAAGTTTTTAAATATATGTAAATATGTTTGTCAAGTTCTTTTCCTATGATCCATTGAACATTTCCATCAGAACCTAATTGGTCTGGCACCTTTTGAAATGTGTTCTATCCTTTAAGGACAGGAGGGTGTCTCGATAGTGGACGGTTCTTGGTCCTAGGAATTGGAGATGCCCTTCCTCGGATTAAATCTGATTACCTTTTCATTTTTCAGGTTTAGTGATTATAATGGATTTAATATACTGTATGCTTGTTCCATTGTTGTTTTCCTGCAGTCTGCCAGTGCCTTGGGTTGTGCTGGCTGTGGCTTCCAGCATCAGGGTGATAGCCACAACTTTTAAATAATATCTTCATGTGTCTGCTGTGCATGGAGATCACAAATAGTACTTGTTTGCACTTGCTT